ACCCCCGCCCTCTTGGATCCTCATGCTTATTCTACAATAATGGTCTTACACAATATTTCTCCTTATGGGACTGAGTTCACTTAGCATAATGCTCTCCAGTCCCTTCCAAGGTAGGTAGCAATTTACAAAATTATTGTTCCTGCATGTTATGTAGTATTCCAGTGTGTGAATGTATCATAATTTCTCAATCCATTTGATTGTGCTTGGACATTTGGGCTGTTTCCATGTTCTTGTGATGGTGAATAACGCTGCTGTGGACACTGGTGTACAAGCTTCTGTTTGTGCCTCAGTTCTCATTCTCTCGGGGTATATTCCAAGCAGTGGAATACTGGGTCATATGGAATTTCTCGGTTCAGCTTTCTGAGGAAATGCAAACTGTCTTCCAGAGTGGTTGTACCATTGTACAACCCCACGTCTGGTGAATTTTGGGCTGTCCTTCAAGTCTTCATCCCCTTTCCCAGATGGAATGAGTGGTCTCCATTTCTCTGTGTGCTTTCAGGAGCCTTCAATCGGAGGAAACGAAACTCCATTTATGTCACTGTGACCCTGCTTATCGTGTCCGTGTTGATTCTCACGGTGGGCCTTGCTGCGACTACCAGGACCCAGAATGTGACGGTTGGAGGCTATTACCCTGGAGTTATTGTAAGTATAGAAGCTATACGTAGGTAGGTCTCACTGGCTTGCTGGCTGCAGAGGTTGATGCTCCACTGTGATGGGTTGCCGTTCTATTTGTGTTTTTTATTGTTTTGCTCTGTTTTTTTTTTCTTTCTGTCTCTCTCTGTTTATGGGGCCCTAGTTAAAAGAGGTGTGAATTAAGAATCCATCCCTAACTCAAGCCATCTCACGATTTTGGGTCTTGGTTTCTGGTTTAAGAGATGCTCCCCACTTCTTGTTGTTAGGTGCCTCAGAGTTGAGGATGACTCATAGCAACTCTATGAATTACTTATTTCAGTCTTGTCCTGTGTCCTCATCTTCATCTCTGATACACTCGAGCCTGGCATTACAGTCTCTATGTCAATCCATCTTGTTAAGGGACTTCCCTTGCTCCACTGACATTCCACCTGTCCGAGCATTATTTCCTTTTCCAAGGACTGGACCCTCTTAACATGCCCAAAGTATGTGAGTATGTGAGTATGTGAGTATGTGAGACAGAGCTAACAACATTCATATTAGGTTGAGACCTTGCCCCTTACCCCTCTCTCCACGCCCTCCCCCCACCCCGCATCTGCTTTTCTACAGACAATAGAAATCGCCTGATGTTATAAGACACTTGACAGGCCTTGTAGCCTTGATCAGTAGAGACTGTGCACTCCTATCAGAAAAAAAATATGTGGACTCATAAAATGCATTGACTGAAGTTTTATGAATGTGTATAAAATGCTTGAGCCTATGTGTTTTATACATGTTCATAAAATCTACAGAAGAGAGAAGTTAGATTAAAATGAAACCGTTTTTTTCCTCTGTCTTCACACTAAAATTTCAAGGAATAGTAGTGGCTGCAAACTTCTAGTCCAATGTATGAGACATTTTTAAGAAAATATTTTGACTGACTTCTTATCAGTCCATCGTTGGATGGTGGTGGTGTTTTTTTATCTGGAGTCCACAAGGTGGCTGACAGAAAGCTTACGCTGGGAGCAGAAATGGCAAGCCTGCCATTTGCCTGTTACTCTCTTGTGCTTATGGCATTGTTATTGTTGTCGTTGTGTTCTTTGGAGTTGTAACCAATCCAAAGCTGACCCTCCATTGGGTTTTCAGAGGCAGTTAATTACAGGGGTGGAGATTGCCCATCCTTTTTCCACTGAGCTACCTTTGGGATTGCAGTGCAGCTTCTTACCACTGGACCACCAGAGTTCCCTGGTTGCTTCAGGAGAATCTTCCCAGATCATCTGGACATATTACTGGGACTAGTTTTGTTGTTGTTGTTGTTGTTGTTGTGTGCTGTTGAGACACCTGCAACCCTATGTACAGCAGCTCTAAACCTTGCCCTGTCCTGAGCCAGTCTCATGGATATTGACACACCTACTCCCATTGCCCCAGTTACTGTATCAATCCATTTCATCCTAGGTCTTCCTCTCCTGTGCTGTCCCTCCAATCTTCCGAGCATAATGTCCTTCTCCAAGGACCTGTCTCTCCTGGCCACATGCCCAAAATATGTGAGACAGAGCTTCAAAATCTTGGCCTCCACAGAGAGACTTGGTTTCACCCTCTCCAAAACAGACCTATTTGTTTTCTTGGTAGTCCATAGTATGTTCAAGACTCTTTTCCAGCACCACAGTTCAAAGGTATCTATTCTTCTTCTGTCATCCTTAGTCATTGTCCAGCCCTCTGAAGCATAACAAGTAATTGAGAAGACCATGGGCTGGATTAGGCACACCTTACTCTCCAGACTGACATCATTGCTTTTCAGTACTCTGGAGAGGTCCCTGATGGCAGATTTTTCCAATCAAATTAATCTTTTTATTTCCTGACTCCTGGTGCCAAGAGTGTTGATTGTGGAGTCAAGCAAGCTTCAATATTTAACAACCTCAATCTCTTCTCCATCTAATATGGTTCTGCCAATTGGACCAGTAATGAGAGTCTTTGTCTTCTTGAAGTTGAGCTTCAATCCATATCGAAGACTACAGTCCTTGACCTTCTGGCACAAGCATTTTAGGTCCTCTTCAGTTTCAGCAAGCAAGGTATTATCATCTGCATAAGATAGGTTGTTGATGAGTCTTCCTCCAATCCTGATGCCACATTCCTCCTCATAGAACCTAGCCTCCTGGATGATCTGTTCTGCATAGAGATTGAAGAGGTATGGGGACAAGATGCATCTGTGACACACTCCTTTCCTGATTTTGAACTATGCAGTGTTTCTTGCTGTTCTGAGGACTGCTTCCTGCTCCAAGTATAGGCTTCACATAAGCACACTCAAATGTTCTAGGATTCCAATTTTTCTCAAGGTTAGCCACAATTTGTTTTGATCCACACAGTCAAATACCTTTGCATAGTCAATGCAAATAATAAAGAAGGGAAGGAAGGAAGGAAGGAAGGAAGGAAGGAAGGAAGGAAGGAAGGAAGGAAGGAAGGAAGGAAGGAAGGAAGATTTCAAAGGGCAGCTCAGGAAGATAAGGCAAAGTATTATAATGAAATGTGCAAAGAGTGGGAGTCTGAAAATCAAAAGGGCCAAACTTGCTCAGCATTTTTTAAGCTAAAGGAACTAAAGAACAAATTCAAACCGTGAGTTGCAATCCTTAAGGATGCTATGAGCAGAATATCGAATGATTCAGGAAGCATTAAAAGAAGATGGAAGGAGTCACTGTATCACAAATAATTGGCTGACACAGAAGAATTTCAAGAAACGACATATGATCAAGAGGCAATGGTGATGAAGGAGGAAGTTCAAGCTGTTGTGAAGGACTTGGCAAAAAATAAAGCCTGAGGAATTGATGGAATACCAATTGACATATTTCAACAAACATGCTGCCCTGGATGTGCTTACCAAGTTGTGCCAAGAAATCTGGAGGACAACTACCTGGCCAAGTGACTGAAAGAAATGCATATTTATTCCCATTCCCAAAAAAAGTATGGAAATTATCAAACAATATTACTAATATCACATGTGAGCAGAATCTTGCTGAAGATTATCCAGAAACAACTTGAACAGTACATTGACAGAGAACTACCAGAAATACAAGCTGGGTTTAGAAGAGGTCGTGGCACTAGAGACATTATAGTCAATGTCAGATGGATCTTGTCAGAAAGAAAAGAGCACCAGAGGCACTAGTTTAGTTAAGGAAATTTTGATGGCTTAGTGGTAAGGAGTTGCACTGCCAACTCAAAGGCATATGGTTCAAACCCAGCACCTGCCCCTTGGAAGAAAGGTTGGCAGTCTCCTCCCATGTGATTTATTGCCTCTGAAAACCCACTGAAGGGTCAACTGTGAGTCAGTTCCAACTTGAGGGCACATAACAAGAAGTTTAGTTAAAACAGAACAGTCCAATCTAGGCACAAGGCTACACTTGGATTTAGGTCTTGGAACTTGGCCTCCTCCCTCTGCCTAGTGTTCTCATACCAGGGATGGTGCTTGCTGTGCCATTTACAGAATATTCTTCAAAGTTTGTTCTGATAATTTTAGATAAACAATAAACAGGAAGCCAGAGTTCTATTGGTTCCTCCTCAGACTCCCCACTGACCTCTTCACATCTAAATCCTCCTTTGGTCTGTTTGCACTGTGGTTGAATCCCAAGGCCTAAATCCCCTGGTTGGATCAGAGGTTTAGACTTCAGTGAAATAGCCCAGCAGTTGTAACTGACAGAGAGCAGGAAATTTAGAATGATTGTTAATATCTTTTAGAACAGTGGAGAAGTCTGATGTCTTTGGGATTAGTGGGGAGGGACTGGTTTTATTCTGTTTTCACTGGAAAGGTGGATATTGTAGAGGGGAGCAATGGGAGGGGAAGGGATGGACTTTTTTGACAAGCCAGCAATATGAATGACGAAGCCTGTTGTCAGTTTCCTAGGTCACTGATTCCACAGCTAGAGGCTGGCAGGGACTGCTCAAGGCCTCCTCCATCCCCCACTAAGGGGTACAGCTGCTTAGGGGAGCTCTTCTCTAGCCCTTGGGTCAGCAGACCTTCCATCAGCCTAGGGCAGGTGTCCCTCAGACACCATTCGGTGCCCTTTGTTAAATATGTGCTATGAGAACTCACCCAGTCCACTTCCTGTGGTGAGGGTTTAAAAAAACCAACAGAAAACCAAACCCAAAAAAATCAGTTCTCAGCAGAATTGAGGTTTATTTTTAAACACAAGAAAGAGAGGGGGAGGGAGGGAGGGAGAGAGGAAGGGAAGATTGCGTCTTTGGTGGCTTGGAGGGGCAATTTCTAGGGTCTGTGTGACTCTGCGTGCTTCAAATAGCTGCATTTAGTCCAGTGTTTCTGACTGATGAGAAAACGCTCAAGCCAAGATTTCAGCCTCTCTTTGGGGGAGGGGAAGGTATTTTCCATGTAATTTAAAAGAGAGAACCCATGGCTAGGGATCTTTTCTGTAGAATATCTGCCTCTGGGTGGCCAGGCTGGAATACATTTAACAAAGGAAAGAGGGCACATGATTGTTGTTATTAGAGTACCTGATGTTCAGCTGGCACTCCAAGTGGTGCTGTGGGAACAGGCGACTCTCTCTGTCTCTCTCTGTCTCTGTCTCTCTCTCTCTCTCCTTCTCTCTCTCTGTGTGTGTGTATCTCACTAGAAGCTAATGTGCAAATATTGATAGACGAGCCAGTCCTAATAGATAGTGTACCTTGTGATCCAGCCTTTTCCAATCGGCTTTTATAATTCCTGTAGGTTGTTTCTTTAAAATGAGCTTGAAGTATACGAAGTAAGGAGTGGAGAATGCAGACTGGAAAAAGGAAAACTCCACTGGATATGATAGATCCGATCATGTCATAACAAATACAATTACAACTCATGCATCTGAGATAGTAGACGCCTGGAAATTCACATTTGTGTGGGAATGGGGTACTGTCACGAATCAAATAGTCTGGCTAGGAGGGAGTTACTGTATAAACTCTCAAGACAGTGGCCTCCCCATCTTGGCTTGCGTGAAAATGCCTGGCGAACCTGTGCAAATGCAGAGCTCTGGGCCCTGTCCTCACACACTCTGATT